AGCAAGAGGGGGGTCAGTTGATCTGAGCTCTGAGACCTGCTGCCGCTGTTGTTTTTTTTTTGTGCGTAGACATACCCTTGCACATAGCTATTGACTTTCATTTTTGCCAGAAGCTGCTTTTGAACGGTGTGATGGGCTGGACAAAGCTGACCCTCCCGCTGGAGAACTTTCAGCATCCTGGCCATCAGCAGAAGCAGCGGAGAGGTCCTCCGAGCTGGGTAGAGGAGCAGCCCTTGTGGTAACCAATCAGGGTGCAGCAGCCCGATATAAAAGGAGCTCAGTTCCTAGCAGGTCTCAGGGCTGACTGGGGAAACCGTAGAATGTTGGACAGCTCCGAGTGGGAGCTGCGCAGTGTAGCTGGACAGAGCCTGGTTCTACGGCTGGAAACTTGCCAAGAAGCCAGGGCAACCCAGCCAAATCCAGACAATGGGTTCAATCCCAAGACCCTAGAGGAGCTGGATGGAGCAGCATCCTGGGGAAGTGGCCCAGATATAGGACAACGACTGTGGACATTGAAACTTAAGCAGATGACTGCAATTTAGGGTCCCTGTACCGGGCCCCAGAGGAGTGGGCAGGCCTGGATTCCCCCCAACCCTCTTGCAAACCACATCTGGAACAAGGGGGTAAATGAAGAGGGCACTGCTAGGACACTTACTCACCACAGATGGGTAAGTAAAGACTGTGAGACTTCCCTCAGACACCTGGGGGCGCTCACCTGAAGGGCAGAACCTGTTACAAACGGGTAAAATTGTATGATTTTTTTTGTGGGGGTAGAAGAGGCTCTGCCAGTTTTGGGGAGAGGCGATTTTCAGCATATTTATATACTTCTGTCATATTCTAGTTATTGAATATGTGTCTATCATTGATATCTTTGCTATTTTAAGAATGATTAAATTGTTATGAACTACATAATAACATTATCATGAATTACAGTGTATTAAAATCATTGCACTCACCTACGAGGTCTCTCCACTAACGTCCGAGTTCAAAGACATTTTGTTTTATTGTAGCTTTCTGGATGAAACTATCAGCTATCTTATTGATATCTAGTTCCCTAGTATGATATTGATGCACATTAAAAACAACTACATTATTCAACTGCGTTTGCCCCACTGAGGACCGGAGATCATTTAAGTCTTCTGAAGCTGGAGAATAAGTGATCCATGCTTCAGGACAATATACAGAGGCACAGTGAGAAAGATTCTTATAAATTTGCTGTTCTCCAGAACCATGGTGCTTTCAGACTACTCCAATGATACCACAATCATTTTGTTGATGGCTAACAGCCAATTTTGACCCCATTGTTTTGCATGGATAGTTGGGATTATATGTTGCCATGTGCAATACCTTTACAAATAAATTTCAATTACCATTTTGTTACCAAGTCACTCAGATTTGCGAAGTCCCTTTTGCAATTCTTTGCAGACAGTTTTAGACTTAACTATCCTAAGTAATTTTGTATTGTCTACAAACTTTGCCACTTCACTGTTTAATCCTTTAGCTAGATCATTTATGAATATGTTGAGCAGGGCTGGTCCCAGTACAGGACCATGGGTGCACCACTATTTACTTCTCTCCATTCTGAAAATGAACTATTTTATATTATTTAAAAAAAGATTTTCCTGCGGGTTGACAGAGTGATGTCATCACATCACTCTGCATCCCACAGCCCCTCCCTCCTCAGCTGCCCCACCTCCTTCCTACCTCCCTCCTTCCCGCTGCTAACCCAACAGGGATTGGCAACCAATGACTCCTGAGCAGCAGCAGCACTGAAGGTATGATGCTGCTGCTGGGTTTCTGGGTGCGGGGGGAGAAGGAAAATTGCGAGGGGGGGAAAGAGAGCTGCCAAAGAAGCCCATTGTAGGGGGGTGCTAAAAAAGCTCCGGGGGAGGGGAGGCTGGTGGTGAGGCCCCCTGGGGGGGGGCACTGAACTGGGGGACACTCTGGCCCCTGAGTTGGGGCCAGGACTGGATGTGCCTCTGGCAGTTGCCACATGGTAGGCTACTGGGAGTTATAATTCTGCTTGCTGCACAGGCCAGGTGAGGGGCTGGCAGCGATGCCCGTGACGAGGGTGCAGGTGTACCTGCTGCAGAGGCCTGATGCAGGGGGGAGGGCCAGAGTTACCCTGGCCCCTGAATGGCGGCCGGGAGGCATCCCAGACCTTGAGCCAGGGTGGGAGGTCCCTCCTGCAGCCACCCACCCACGTGGCAGCTACTGGAGGGACATCCAGCCCTGGCTCAGGAGCCAGGGTGCCTCCAAGCAGGGTGACCCCCAGTCCAGTCCTCCCCCCCACATAGGGTCTCTGCAGCAGGGCCCTCTACCCTCCCTCCACGGGCCTTCCCACAGGCCCACACACACGCACTGCTGGCCCCAGAGGCAGCAGCACATGGGTGGAGGGGTGGGCAGATCCGATCAGGCATCGGCTC